GAGGGCCCGGGGGGTCAACGCCCCGGGGCCCCCCGGTCTGTGCCCGGGCCCCCTTTGGCAGTGCCCCAGATGCCCCCACCCCACGCTAACACCCAGGTACCCTTTTTAGGGGGGAAAATTTTGGACAACATTTGAAAAAACACTCCTGTTTCTACTCTGGCGGGGAAATCGCCCCAGGCCCTCCCCGTTGAAGCGAGAGCTTTTAACCCACCAGGCCACCAGACCCCTACTGTACAAAAAACCCTTTACTTAATTTCCCATAAAACACCTCAATACTGGGGACACTTGGAAGCACGTGACTTTGTATCGCGGGAAGCAGGCAGCGGAGATATCTAATATACACAAAGGAAAACCCTAAAAGGGAATGGTCCCGAATCTGCACACAAAATTACCCCCTACGAAAGCAAAAGACTGGAAGGCGGGAAAAATACCCCCTTTAAGATAGGGACCATTGTACACTAAGGAAAACGCCATAAGCTCAGGGCCCCAAAGACTTTTCAAAGTTTCCCCCCAAACCCAAAAGGGGAAAAATTCCAAAATACCCTTTGGCTCCCTTAAGAGGGGTTACGGATACAAAAGTCGGTCTGGATCAGGGGGCTGGGGTCCTACTGCACTATGTACGGCCACGTAGCGCCTTTTTTGATCGGGCCCCTGATCCACCGGGAGGCCTTTTCGTGACGGGGCCGGGGGGGCGTTGACCCCCGAATACCATCCAGGTAGACTCCAGCAGGGAGACCGTTCCCCCCGAAGCAAAGGGGCCCGAAAAGAAAAATGCTTCCATAAAGTTTTTTTTTTTCCTTTTATATTTTGTAATTTAACAGGGAAGGGTTACTAGCCCTTGTTCCGGCTTTTAGTGCCTCTTCGACTCGATGACCCACGGGGGAAGGATCTTTTTCCCCTTCCCCGTGGGAAAAATATTATTAGATAATTTTGGTATCCAATTTATCTGCTCCCATCCCCTCTTTTTCCCGGTTTTTTTATATAAAATTTTTTGTTACCCAGCCCGGGGTGATGGAGTTAGCTTTATAAAGGATTCCCTTTTTCCCGTGCATGGGAGAAGCTATCCAAGGATAAGAACTCCCGAGTAATTAAATGCTTTGACTCGGGTGGGAAAGAAATCTTTAAGTTTTGTAGTGACTTTAATGGAATACTGATGGATCCCCTTTCCCCACCCATTTCCAGCTCAGGTTGACAGATTTTTAAAACTATGTAGGTGAGTCTCTCGATGATTGGAATAACAAGGAAAAAGTTTTTATTCCGCTATGTAAATACATAAGGAATGGACACTTTGCATATTTGGGAAATTTTTTTTTGGGGAAACGTTTTTCCCCAGCCCGGGCTTTTTTTTAGTCCTAAAAAAAGAAAAACGGTGAAGATGAAAGGTAATCATTCCCTCAAACTGAGTCGTGTGTTTACCATTTAGCTTTGAAAAGAACAAATATGTCGACTTGGTTTTTAAAATATCCCAGTAAAAAACAGAAAAAATCAAGAGGAATAAGCAAAACTTCCAGTGGGCAGCAGAAAAAAACGGTTTGATTGCAAAAATTTCGAATCCTCAGAAATGAAAAAAAGGAAAAGAAAAGGGCAGATATACAAAAAAACAAGATTCCTGCTAATAAAACAAAAAGAACTGAGAAGGGTTGAGGTAATATCGTCAATTGTCTTGTCGTTTAGATAATACAATAAGGAAATATCTGCAGATAATGAGAAATTCCAAACAAGAGAAAAACCCTCCCCTTTTCAGGTGGTTTAAATCTTTTGTGCTCTCTCAACCCAGTGTTTCAAGGCAGGGGAAAAATTAATCTGGAGCAGATCAAAATCTTTAACCTTTTATAGAGCGATAGTTAATGGCCAAGTAGGACCCAAAAGTCGTCAAACTTTCATTCCCTATGTCGGGGTTTTTTGTGTATTCTTTCCGCCCGGGATTTTGCCTTTTTTTAAATTTTTTCTAAAGTATTTATATAAAAACCCAGAAATTTTTCTCGGGAACCCCAAACCCCTCCTATGAAGACGATGTGTTGCTACCCTATATTCCCTTTAAAATAGGATGACACTAATCTGCGTGAACTTCCAAGTGAATTGATGAAATAAGAAAAGTGAACATTAAACTTCTGATTTTTTAAAAAACACTTTCTTGATCACAAAAACATTCAAAAGAATACCCTTTAAAAAAGCGAGGGAAAATAACGCTGCAATGGTTGAAAAATTGGCAATAAATATTCTGTAGAATCCAGCAAGCAAACTTTTTTAAATTGTATGGGTTTACTAAAATTTTTATGCGTTCCCGCTTGTCTGTCTTTTTGCCGCTTAGGGCCCCTATGGCCAAGATACTAAATTACTGTTTAGAGATTTAACCCAGCAACCCAACGACTTTACATGATGCTACAAAATATATTGAGGGATTATCAATTTATCCGGTAACCAGGAAAATTACCTATAAGATATATATGGCCCCATAACGGTGAATATGGTTTCCTGAGCAAAAGTCGGCGGTTTCTACTAGCCTTACAATGACCTTTAGGGTAGGAATCTTTACTTTTATGCTCTTTATCAAGTAGAATTTGCTTGAAATTTTTGACAAAATTTTTTTTAGAAATTTCCCAAAAGGGGGGCCTTTTAAGAGCTATTTTATTTTTTTTTTCTCTTTTTGCTTCCCCTTATTGATTTATTTTGCCCCGTATTTTCTACAAGAAGGGATTAATAGCCCATTCCCCACGGCTTTAGTCCCTCATACGAATCATGGCTTAGGAGGGAAAATTCTTTTCTACTTCCCCTGGAGAATAAAGAAAATAAAGAAGAACAAGAAATTAAAAAAAGGAAGAAAAACCTTGATGTGTGATCATTTTAGTGTGCTTGCCTGTGTAGTTGACCAATTGCAAGTAAAGTACAAGATATACCTGTTATCCAGCGTATTTAGAACAGCAAAAGACACTTTTCAATCCTCCATCATAAAACAGTTAAAGGTTCTGTTTCACACCACTGGGGACGGTAGTACCCCCCCTGGTGGTTCTGTTACACCTGGAGGGAGTGTTTTTGGTGTGAGCAAAATAACATTTTGAAGGGGATTCAGGGAAACCGCAGGCCGGGCTTGAATCCGGAGATGGGAAGACAGTGCCCGCACTCTGAAGGGTTAATGTTCATTTAAAAAAATGTAGGTAAAACACCATCTGACAAGAAAAGTGATGAATGAAGATGTGAAATTTTCTTTTTTGGGCCCCCTCCTTGGTGGGGAAACGGCCTGTATAAAAAAAAAATAAAATGGAGAAGTCTTATCCCATCGGCTTGAAAATTTTTAACACGTGAGGGAACGAGAACCAAATTCATGGAACAATGCTGAACCTGTCTTAAAACCCCAGTTTTTAACTCTTTTAACATCCGGAATTTTTTAACTTCCAAAAATCGGTGGCTGAGGTTTTAAAAAAAAAAAAAGCCTAAAAAAATCGATAACGGTGGAGAGTGAAATTCAAATGTTAGTCGCAGATTTGACCATATTGTGTAAAAAAAAAATGAAGTGAATTTTTATTCCAGTAAATCACGAAAAATAACTTTCAGTTTACCTCTTCTGAACGGCTGGTGTAACTCAGGGCCAGGGTAGAACCTGGTAAGTTAGGGCCAGGTAGAACCTGGTAACTCAGGGCCAGGGTAGAACCTGGTAAGTTAGGGCCAGGATAGAACCTGGTAAGTTAGAGCCAGGATAGAACCTGGTAAGTTAGGGCCAGGATAGAACCTGGTAAGTTAGGGCCAGGGTAGAACCTGGTAAGTTAGGGCCAGGGTATAGAACCTGGTAAGTTAGGGCCAGGATAGAACCTGGTAAGTTAGGGCCAGGATAGAACCTGGTAAGTTAGGGCCAGGATAGAACCTGGTAAGTTAGGGCCAGGATAGAACCTGGTAAGTTAGGGCCAGGATAGAACCTGGTAAGTTAGGGCCAGGATAGAACCTGGTAAGTTAGGGCCAGGATAGAACCTGGTAAGTTAGGGCCAGGATAGAACCTGGTAAGTTAGGGCCAGGATAGAACCTGGTAAGTGTTGTTTACGTCCTGGCAAATTTGTTGAATTGTTGGAATCCTTGTAATAACAGGAGAATGGCTCGTCCGATCGACTTCAAATTTCTCCATTTCCTGAACACAAGATTCACACTACCATTGGGAGGCATAAGTCCCAATTTGCCAATTTTATTGAATAAATAGTGATATTCATTATTTTAATCAATAAATAAAGAATAATTCTTTTGGTTGGCTTCAAAATATTATTGATGGATAACCAAAATTTAAAATTTTTTAGATAAATGGTTCAAAGAACTGACATGTTGTTTAATTAGACACATGTGCAACTTTTGGGTATCTTTATTGAGGAAACGTTTCGCCACACAGTGGCTTCATCAGTCCATACAAAGGATGGACTGACCACATCGACTCAAGGTTGAGGGACTGATTACCTCATTCTCCTTCTGTTCTTCAAGTTTCTCCTATGTATGGACTGATGAAGCCACTCTGTGGCGAAACGTTTCCTCAATAAAGATACTCAAGAGTTGCACATGTGTCTAATTTAATAACATTTAAAATTTTACTGAAATAGCTAAAAAAAATTGAAATCATTGGAAGCAGATCAGTTACTGGAGAATGCCTCTTCTAATCGGCTTCAAACTTGGGCAATTGGTGGGATTTATTACAACACAGCTTGTTGCTGACTTTGAGTTGTGTAAATTTCAATCTACCAATTTTATTAAACAAACTGTTTACCCTGTAATTACTAGAGAATGTCTCTTCCGATCAGCTTCAAACCCTAAATGCTAGTGTATCTTAATATGACTTTTTGCATCAATTTTGAGTTGTGTGGTTGTCAGTTTTTGCACTTTTTCAAATTGGATTTTTTTGAAAAAAAAAAAAAAAAACGAACGTAATATATTTTTCTCACAGGATTGTAGGGAATTATAATTATAATGTAAATAAGAAAATAAAAGAAGAGGTGACATTAACAAGGCTTCCATAACTGTGTTTACAGGTGGAGTGTCATGTGTGAAGGAGTAGTGATGCAGCGAGCGTGGGTGGTGATGACGGTGGTGCTGCTGGTGACCGCGTCTGTGGCCGTCCCTCTACACGACACCAAAATTCAAAGTAAGGCACTTCTGACACGGGTGGCACTGTTAGCACTGTTGGCACTGTTGGCACTGCTGACACGGGTGGCACTGTTGGCACTGTTGGCACTGTTGGCACTCTCTTTCACTCTTCTGCTCCTGTAAAGTCACTGTTAATATCTTACTTTTGTTCTCTTACTCCTGTGTTTTCATTATGCTGTTATTCTTCTACTGTTGTTGTACGCACTTTTATTTTTCTCTTGTGTTATTTTTCTGCTGTTCTGCACTATCCTATTCTTGTGCTGTTTTCTACTATCCTATTCTTGTGCTGTGCTGTACTATCCCATTCACGCATTGTTTTGTACGATCGTATTCTTGTACTGTTCTGTACTATCCTGTTCTTGTACTGCTCCGTGTTATCCTTTTCTTGTAGTCTTCTGCACTATCCTATTCTTGTACTGTTTTACACTATCCTATTCTTGTACTGTTTTACACTATCCTATTCTTGTGCTGTTCTGCACTATCTTATTCTTGTACTGTTATTAAGCACTGAGTTACTTTTCTTTTGTTATTACGAACACAGGTCATAAATGGCCTGTGATACGTGGTCGTAATGGGAAATGAAACAAACTCAGCAGTAGACTATAATATATATTTACCTTCACCTACTATATACAGGTATGTACACTATGTACAATATGTACAGATATAATAAGTGTACACCAGGGCGACAGATGGCAAAGCAGATGCCAGAGAGAGAGTGCACCGTACTCAACCAGCAGGTAGGCAGGTCTGCCAGTGCTTACCACATGTAAACCACCCTGCTTCAGCTTTAGCGGGCTTGCCTGTGATTGGTCAATGAACCAAGGTACTGATTTAACGACGGGTACCCTATTGATCGTTAAACTTTTAGCACCTAATTAGCTAGTTGGGAGGCAGCCTATATGGGAGTGTGACTTACGCCGAATAAATTGTAACATACTCTTTGCATGCCACATCAGTGATGTTATTCTTTTGCTTCTTTTCCAGCACTTTTGTTTTCCTGCTGCTCTGTTGTTTGTTATTCTGCTACTGTTCTGTTTTTTTCATATATTGTTGTTCTGTTATTTATACTTCATCTACTGTTCACTTATGTTTTGTTCATCTACTCTCGTTCTGTTGTGATATCCATTGTTGTTTTATGTACTCTCGTTCTGTTGTGATATGCACCTACTGTTGTTTTATGTACTCTCGCTCTGTTGTGATATGCACCTACTGTTGTTTTATGTTATTCATCTTCTGATGTTCTGGCACTGTTATTTATTTACTGTTGACTTGGTGCTGTTAATTTTCTGTTTTATTTGTTAATTTCATCCAGAAAGAATTCAGTCCATATAGTTATGTTAAAGAACATAAATTTCACGAAAACTTGTATTGATCATGTATTATCAAGTCAGAGGTTGTCTTCGAGTTATCCAGATGAACGGAAGGGTACTCTAGATGCAGCTGGTATTTCTCCTCTGAGCCGTCACGCTGACGTTCTTGGATCGGAAGAAGGCAACCTTTCGATCGTGAAATACTACTATATAGCCTGATAACGACATAACTTAAGGAAACACAGATGGAAATGGACCTTGGTAAGCCCTCTTTTAAACGGGAACACTCGCCCGGTTCTCATCCAAGTCAAAATGATCAGCCATACCAGGGGGCATACCTAATATGCCCCCTACTTTATCGACCCGACGGACATACTTCTACTCGTAGCAATCACAACTACACGGCAATAAATTCTTTACCACCGCATGGGCCTAACCTAGCCTAACCTAACCTAACCTAACCTAAACTAACCTATCCTAAACTAACCCAACCTAACCTAACCTAACCTAAACTAACCTAACCTAACCTAACCTAACATAACCTAATGACCTCCTCCTCATCCCTCTCTGTATCTTAAATACCGGTATTCCTACACATCTAGATTCAAGAATACGAAACTACTAGTGTATCATTCTCTCTATATGCCCTTATATTATTATATTCCCCTTATCCCACTTCGCCAACGGGAGTTGGAACATGCGGACTGGAAACTCGATGAGTAAGCAAGTTTATTCAGGCGGGAGAGATACATGATTATATACACCTGGAAAATCCTAGAGAGACTAGTACCGAACTTGCACACGAAAATCACTCACTACGAAAGCAAAAGACTTGGCAGACGATGCAACATCCCCCCAATGAAGAGCAGGGGTGTCACTAGCACGTTAAGAGACCATACAATAAGTGTCAGGGGCCCGAGACTGTTCAACTGCCTCCCAGCATACATAAGGGGGATTACCAACAGAATAATTCATACATAGCAGCATATGTGGAGAGAACCTAGAATAACCCACTGATAGGTGTTTTCGTTAACGCTCACCTATTTGCAGTTACTATTGCCATCCCTCGAAACGTATCTCCTGGTGGCCCCAGAATGCGCTACTAGCACAAATCTTGGGTCTGGATAAAAGGCCACATGTAAACAGATCAATATACCTCGGATTCCACTGTGATGCTTGCAGTCGCAGAAGAAAAAGAAGCAGTTCCAGACAAAGTTTTCCGACGCAATTGGACAACACATTTTCTCGAATGGAAACAAGTAAGAGAATCCTCTCTACTGAACCTCACATACTGAAGAACAGTACAGTTCATCGCTTATATATAGAGGACTGACGACTACGCTTCCAGAGTGGAAGTCTACAGCACTTGGACCTGGAGATATACACATGTACATGCTACAACACTTACATCTAACTTACCTCTTTCATGCACCTCTTTAACCAGATATGGGCCAAAGGTGTTGTACCTTCCTAGTGGAAAAAAATGCAGTAGTAGTACTTACCTTTCTTAATTAAACCAGGCACCTCAGGACTAGATAATTTTAGTGATAGATTTATACCTCTAATTAGCGCTATTTTAGAATTATTGGAATAAACCATACCACGGGTGGGGATAGAACCCGCGGCTAGGTTAATAAACGACTTGTAAAACATTTTTAATGAACAGAATTTGTGAGACTTATAAGCTGTGTTGAAAAAATTCTCATTTGCCTGACATGTGACCTGATTAATGAACTTCATCTTTGGAAAGGAATTCCCACGCTCGTTTAGTAAGGTCATAAGTGATGTCACATGTGATGTCAAATGTCATCTATACAAGTCTTCTATCGTCTCATTATTTTTACTGTTCCTTAATGGAGTGAGAAATCACAAAAGCATTTAGAATATTACAATTATTTCACTGTGTGTCGCATTTTGCATATTCCAGTGATCTTATTCCATATATATACATATATGTATGTTATCAGTAGACTCTGTATTAGGTACATTTTTACGCCTACTCGTTAACGCCAATATGTAACTAGCCAATCACGTGGCAGCACCTCACTGCCTAAAAGTAAGCAGATGTGGTCGAGAGGTCCAGGTGTTCAGACCGAACATCAGAATTGGAGAAAAAGGTGATATAAGTAACTTTGGCTTTGGAATGATTGTTTGTGCCAGACGGGGTGGTTAGAGTATCTCAGAAATCGTTAATATGGGATTTTCACGCACAAGCAGTTTGTAGTTTACAGAGAATGGTGTGAAAACCACGAAACATCCAGTGAGCGGCAGTTCTGTTGGTGGAAACTCCCTTGTTTATAAGGTCAAAAGAAAATGACTGGACTGTTTCAAGCTAACAGGAAAGCAACAGTAACATAAACACTCGGTACAACAATGTTATATAAAAGAGGATCACTGAATGCAAAACACATCGAACCTATAAGTGGATGGGTTAAAATGCACAAGACCAAACCGGCTTCCACACCTGTCTGCTAAAAATAGTAACCCCTCAAGGAAGGTTCCTTGATGTTGGTGAGGGGCTCTTGATTTAGGGAATTGGATCTGTGCCCCAGTTCCCCGAATTAAGCCTGAATGCCTTCCACATCCCCCCCCAGGCGCTGTATAATCCTCCGGGTTTAGCGCTTCCCCCTTGATTATAATAATAATAATAATAAAAATAGTAAACTGCTGATACAGAAGTTCACCAGAACTGAACAACTAAAGATTACAAAAATGTCGCCTGGCCTGACGAATCGTGATTTCTGCTACGACCTGAAGATATAGTAAGATCAGAATTTTGCACAATCATTTGGAATGTGGGAGAGACTCGAAGCATGAACGTGCAGCCGACAAATCTGCAGCAACTGCGTGATGTTATTATGCCATCATGGGCTAGAGTGGGTGTAGCATAGATGATAAGAAAGAAGTGATAGTTCATGTTATGTATGAAAAGAAACAGGATGTCTTATCACTAAGTAAAAAGTGAAAGGGTTAGGAAAATATAAATTTCAGAGGAAATTTTTTCGTCTCTTCTTACTTTCGTATCCTACTCTCGGTGTATATATTACCCATTAGGTGTTCTGTAGCTCGATCGTTAGCGCACTCAGCTCACACACTGAGGTCCGGGGTTCGATTCTCCTCCAGTATGGCTGGAAAATATTAGGGACGAGTTTCCATAAGACACCTGCTGTCCCTGTTCCTGTTCACCCATCAGTTTAAAATGGGTACCTGGGTGTTAGTGGACTGGTGTGGGTCGCATACTTGGACAAAACTGACCTAATGTGCCCGAAATGCTCTGCATAACAAGAGGCTTTCTATATAGTAGTATGTCATTGATGTCAGCTATGGTCTGTATACCTTGTACATGTACTTGTAGTAAATAAAGATATTATTATTATTATTATTATTATTATTATTATTATTATTATTATTATTATTTTATTATTATTATTATCTTTGTTTTATTCTCCTCTTCCATCATTTCACATATTATCCTGTATTCCATGTTTTGTGACAGCTATTTTATTAACAGTAATTTTTCATGTTCTTTCACAGACAAGGAGTCATATGAGGGTCAGGTGAGTGTGTGTTACCTCGACTCTGGTCTCCTGGCTTTATGTCCCGACGTTGTCCAAAGGTCAGTTTAGCATCAGCTGAAAACTGGAACACTTGAGATGTAAATATACAAAGCATATTTTTTTTCCAGTGCCTATTGATCGTTTGGTGGGTCAGATCAGGATAAAACGAAGTAAGACCCTATGTGGGGTGAGCTTCGAAGATGGGATAGGCGAAGAATAGCGTTGGAGAGGAGTGTCCACAATCGTATAAAAAAGTGCCAGGGCTTAACCCAGCAGCTAGGCGCTCGTGGGGCGCACTGGAGAAACAGGAGGAGCAGGCTGAAAATGAGAATGCATCGGTCCTTATTTTGGAAGTCTTGATTCTTGGGTAGCTTGCAGCAGGCTTGGTCGCAGGCGGGAAGGCAGGTGGGGACAACAGAGGCGGCTCAGATTTAGGTTTTACCTAACGTGGAACATTTGTAGAAGAGCCGTTCTCAGATTTCTTGAAGTTGGTTCTGGAGAGGTGACTATTCAGCCACTGCGACCAGATGGTCCCCAAGCCCCTCCTGCACTACTTGCTCGACTGTCCCGCAACGACGCCCATTCGCCGCAGACACTTCCCGATGATTCCAGTGGGTTGAACCCGGGAGGACGAGGCGGCACACCCTCCTTGCCTGTAGATCAGAATGAGCGGGTGAAGTTTGAGTGAGGGCAGCCAGCTCAGGGGTGTTATTACGCACCCAGGTAAGAAAGGCCTGTTACCCTGGGTCGTAAAGGGACTTGGAGCGAAATAAACACAGCAGTAGTGGGGGTTGGGGGTTACGTCAGGTCGCGTAAGGGTAAAAGAATGGTAGAGGTTAGATCAAATTGGTGAAACCAAGTCAAATGACCTAAATCAGGTCAGTAGGGCAGGACAAGAGGGTAAAATTTCAAGGAATTGATTATGTCAGTTCAAGGAGGCGAGGTTCCCGATGGATACTGTCAGATCTGGCTTGAGGGATCAGGCCGGGGGAAAAAAGAGGGGGTGGGTTGAGAGTGAGATCAGGAGCAGCCAGGCCAAATTGAGCGGGTAAAATTCAGGAGTTGAGTGCAAATCGATCGACGGGTGAGATGAGTTCATGTCTAGTGAGGCCAAGATATGCTGATGCCACTCTTTCTTATATTTGAAGGTATTAAATATTATAATATATTATGAATATCATGATAACCTGTACAAATAATCTTGCAAAAGGAAGTTCCACTCTACCAACTCTTCATCTTCAAGTATTCATTTTGAAATTGTTAAAACCTTTCCAGTATCTTAAATATTTCGATCATATTTGACAGGCAATGTAAGATGAGATGTGAAGGTATTTTTAACCCTGAGGGTTAACCACCCAGGTTAGGTTACTATAGCCTGAGGTTTGGTAAGTTGGGAGGGAAGAAGGATAGGAGGTGCCAGTGGGGGTGAGGAGCGGGGATGACAATAAAGGTAAGTGGCCCAACTACTTTGGCGTATTTTAATAAAGGTGTGTGGTGTGTGTGGTGTGTGTGTGTGTGTGTGTGGGGTGTGTGGTGTTGTGTGTGAGTGTGTGTGTGTGTGTGTGTGTGTGTGTTGTTGGTTGTACATAATAATCAGATCGTGTATACAACACCACCCATCAGAGACACATTTGTATACAAGACGCATTCGTGCATGACATTAATTTGGTGATACGTACATTCTCGAATTTGCCTTTTTTTTTTTAAAGCAGTACAGGAGGCAAGATGTTTGGGCTAGTTGTAAGGCGCCTGCTGGAGTTGGTGGTCTGCTGTTCTGATTCTGAGGCGGTGTCCTGCCGTAGGTGGTTTTCAGATGCTACTTGGTTAGATATTATTGCCAGTTATGTTTAGAGGTGCGAGCCTTTCCTTGTCAGTGCCAGTTATATCTGGAGGTGCGAGGCTTCCCCCGTGAATGCTAGTTAAACTTCTTGTTGGCCATCTGTCACTTAACAATTAGTGATGCACCAAACACTCATTATAACACAAACAATGATTGTATTGGTAATCTGCAGTTAATTTTATAGGTTCCACTTAAATACAATTACGTATTTTAAAGGTTCCGGGAAAAGTAATAATATAATTTTTATGGAAATTACAATGATCCATTAAATAATTTTGAGAACGGAACACACAGTATTTGATCATAAGATGCAATTATAATAAACAGTCAACTGAAGTTCATTTTCCCATAAAGCTAAAAGCTTTAACTTCAAATGACTTATATTTTCCTCAGCTACTAACGAGACCTCAGTATCTCACTTGCGCACCCTCGTTAATTAATTGATTAGGCCCATTCACTTTGTTGAACTCTAATAGCATCAAGAAACAATTCAAACAGACAGCATTCTTTCAAGGAACTAGATATCTGGACAGCGTTACGATATTAAGTCACAGTGCTCCGCCACCATTCATGAACCATGGGATAACAAATGGGATGCAGCAGGAACGAGCTGTTGCAATTCCTCATCTTGACTCCTGTGGCACAATGACTCAAGGCTCCAAGAATATACGGAACAGTGTCCCAGGGCATCTTACTGCACGCAGGTAGACAACGTACCTTTACTCTGGCATATTCCAAACGTCTGAATTATGTCTTTGTAGTGCCTTGAATGACGCTGTTGAGATTCTTGATCGTTATCTTAGATTTGTCAAAAGCACATTTGTTGCTGGAATTATTCAGCTGATTAAATCTTGAATGAAATACTCGGTACTTTGCACACCAAAGGTCTTTTCCCATGAGTGAGGTTTGTAGCATGTCTCTCAACCCTGTACTCTCTTTCTATCTCCTTTGTTCTTCCTCAGTTTTCATAGCTTTGCATTTATTTGGAGTGAATTCTGATAGCCACGTGTCAGACCAGTCCAGTGGCTCAACAAGGGCCGTTTGTAGGCTGTCTTTGTTCTCTCTTGTCTGTTCTTTCCTTAATAGCTTCATACCATCTGTAAATGGTCCAAGTCGGACCGAAACGTCGTCGTAAGCTTCTCTCTTTTATGTGCGAGTTATTTGTGTATCTGAGAACAAGGTCAAGTCTTACTTTATTTCTTTCATCCTGTCACTCACATACGCCAGGAATAATATAGGTCTCACTATTGATCCTAATGGAACCTACTTCTGAAACCTATTCCCAAACAATTAGACTATTTTTCTGCTCGTTAGGTATTCCCTGATTTATCACAGCGTCTTCCGTGTTATTTCTTTTAGCTCTGATCTCAATCTCTTGTACAATATCGTGTCAAAAGTCTTCTTACAGACAAAATTAATTCTTCTCTCTCTCTCTCTCTCTCTCTCTCTCTCTCTCTCTGGTTGTGTTCCTGATATGTTGTGGGTATGTATGTGTGTATTTTTGTATGTATGTGCATGTGTTTGTGTGTGCATGTGTATTTATGATTATATTTGGCCTTAGCAAGAATATTTGTTTTTTGAGAAGCAGCATTGTGTATAGTATTGTCAGTAAACTCCCGCACTCTACTGTTGCACTTAGTGTTGCACTCTATTGTTGCACTCTTTTGTTGTACTCAGTGTGTCTTTATTGACTTTCATTTTAATTGAAAGCTTTGACGTCATCATTGTGCTTTTCTGAAGACAAAATCGAACACTGTATGGTTTTATTGGCCCTGTTAGTGTGTGGGTGTACTGAAGTATGAGTGGGAAGGGGTGGAGGTGCTGGTGTATGAGTGTGTAGAGGGGAGGTGCTGGTGTATGAGTGTGTAGAGGGGAGGTGCTGGAGTATGAGTATGTACGGGGGAGGTGCTGGTGTGTGAGTGTATAGGGGGAAGATGTGGTGTATGATGTGAAGGTGGGGAGGTGCTGGTGCATGACTGTGTAGAAGGAGGTGCTGGTGTATGCGTGTGTAGGTGGAGGTGTGGTGTATGAGTGTGTAGGTGGAGGTGCTGGTGTATGAGTGTGTAGGGGTGAGGTGCTGGTGTATGAGTGTGTAGGTGAGTGCTGTGTATGAGTGTGTAGGTGGAGGTGCTGGTGTATGAGTGTGTAGGGGAGGTGCTGGTGTATGAGTGTGTAGGTGGAGGTGCTGGTGTATGAGTTGTAGGGGGAGGTGCTGGTGTATGAGTGTGTAGGTGGAGGTGCTGGTGTATGAGTGTGTGGGGAGGTGCTGGTGTATGATGTGTAGGTGGAGGTGCTGGTGTATGAGTGTGTAGGTGGAGGTGTTGGTGTATGAGTGTGTAGGTGGAGGTGCTGGTGTATGAGTGTGTAGGTGGAGGTGCTGGTGTATGAGTGTGTAGGTGGAGGTGCTGGTGTATGAGTGTGTAGTGGAGGTGCTGGTGTATGAGTGTGTAGGGGAGGTGCTGGTGTATGAGTGTGTAGGTGGAGGTGCTGGTGTATGCGTGTGTAGGTGGAGGTGCTGGTGTATGAGTGTGTAGGTGGAGGTGCTGGTGTATGAGTGTGTAGGTGGAGGTGCTGGTGTATGAGTGTGTAGGTGGAGGTGCTGGTGTATGAGTGTGTAGGTGGAGGTGCTGGTGTATGCGTGTGTAGTGGAGGTGCTGGTGTATGCGTGTGTAGGTGGAGGTGCTGGTGTATGAGTGTGTAGGTGGAGGTGCTGGTGTATGCGTGTGTAGGTGGAGGTGCTGGTGTATGAGTGTGTAGGTGGAGGTGCTGGTGTATGAGTGTGTAGGTGGAGGTGCTGGTGTATGAGTGTGTAGGTGGAGGTGCTGGTGTATGAGTGTGTAGGGGTGAGGTGCTGGTGTTTTTGTGTGTGTAGGGGTGTGAAAGTGCATGTGTTGGTGTATGGGTTTGTCTTGGAACTAGTGTATAAGTGTGTACTCACCAATCTGTACTCACCTATTTGTGGTTGCAGGGGTTGAGTCACGCTCCTGGACAAGCTTCTTCGCTGGTCACTACTAGGTCCACTCTCTCCATGCTTCATGAGCTTTATCCTAACTCTTCTTAAAGCTATGTATGGATCTTGCCTCCACTACATCACTCTCCAGATTGTTCCACTTCCTGAAGCAATACTATGGCTGAAGAAATACTTCCTAATATCGATGTG